TATTTGATCAATGATCTGCCTGTATAGTTAAAATGTTGTATACTGAAATTGTTTTCTTGTTTTCAATTGGTCTAATAATAATCATGTGTAGGGAGGATACTTTCTTCTTTAAAGGATACAAATGATGGTGAAAATCAAACTGAGACATCCTTGCATAAAACCCCAGAAAATCAACCCAAGAGTGCCAGTTTATCTCAATTTCTACCAACATCCCGGCGCATTGTGCAATTCTCTAATGGAAAGGTGTGCCTCACTTGCTATATTGGCACTTTTAAATTTTACATTTTGTATTTTTGTTCTGTTAAGTCTTAAGTATTTCATACATTAGACTAAACTTCTTTCTAGGATCTTGGCTCAAGTGCATCTAGTGACATGTGAGAATAAATACCTTTGGAAGTGAACAAATGGACCTGTTTTTTGGTACATGTAAAGATCAAGAAGTCACCATGTGAAATAGTTATGACTCTGTTGAAATGACAAGAATGGAAAAAACAAAAGTAATCCGCATTTAGTCCTTCATTGATTCTTTACTAATTTATATAAAGAGCAAAGCATCAGCCAATCCGCAGGAGTGTGTGAGTAACACAGTAAACCATTTTGCAGGGTAACTCAGTATTGACGTTTCATTTATTTCATATTTATTTTAATGTGCAGCGATAACATATGGAGGTGGTGGAAATTTTGTTTTTTGTTTCTTTTTTATGCATATTGTTTTTTTATCCTCCATAACACCTTTCATATTCTCAGGGACCTGGACCAAATGCTCGTGTTGTGTACATTGATGGGGCATTTGATCTCTTTCATGCAGGACATGTTGAGGTATAATTATTATCATTGAATTACTTCTGTAAACGTCTTAATTTTTATGATGGTTTAAGTTGGATCTTTGTAGTGCATTTACCTATTTTGTATTACAAAGTTTGGGGCGCATCTAGAAATGGCAGTATTCTACATCTTCCTAGATGTTTTCTATCTTCAATATAAACTTGGAGTAATTTCTAAATAGCCTTCCATATAGCCTTTTATCATAATGCACTCCAGCATGACTCATTCATATATTTAGCCTGGTTTACTCACCACAAATCATGCGTTAGTTCCATCGCTGTAAGGGTGAAATAGATACTACCATTGGATTAATTTACGAATTGAAGTTGTGAATTGTGACAGTTCTCTGCTAACCATTAGTTGTAAGGCTACCTATGGAAGCCTTGGGTTAAGGTTTGACCTTCTGGCAACACTTGAACAGTATGCTTGTATGTAAACAACTGAATGTTGCCATGTGATGTTCACACCCCCTCCCTTTTGGCAATTCTATGCTGTGGAGATTCATTACAGCATCCCCCTTTCTGTATGAACAGTTATCAAATCTTTTTCTCATCATTTTATCATATGAAGGCTGTTTCTCTTTTTTTGGTTGCTTGCTCAGATTCTGAAGAATGCTAGGCAGCTCGGAGACTTTCTACTAGTTGGCATCCACAATGATGAGACTGCCTGGTAATTCCATTTTCTTGATTTGAGATCAATTCATTCATTGGTATAATTACGGAATTGTGTTTATCTTGCTGTCTACTGTAGTCAACAAAAGTAAACTTGTAAAAAGACCAAAAACTAAAATAATAAAATTTGGTTAAATGCAGTGAACACAGAGCGAAGTATCCAATTATGCATTTACACGAACGTAGTCTTAGTGTATTGGGTTGCCGTTATGTTGATGAAGTCATCATTGGTGCTCCCTGGGAAGTTACCATGGACATGGTGAGTAAATGCATATATCTTTCTTTTGCTTTTTATACCAAGTCATTGTATTTGTATGTACAACCATGAGCAACTGTTTTCATTCTTCAGAGGCACGTCTTCTCCTGGTTTTATGTACAGTTTCTTCAGTCAACATGTTCATGATGTTTCTTCCTGGCCTTGAACGGGATTATAATATGTAAATGTCATCGTAGTAGTTATGTTTCTACCTTGAACAATAAATTTTCCAACTTTATTGCTGCTTGGGAATGTGCATAGATTCGTGACATGCTTGCCACTTGTATTCATTACTTTAGATAAGCATACCGTACAATTGTGGTGGAGGCCATGGATCCAATACATGCTGGCATGTGTGTGATATATCAATAAGTTTTATCATACATACCTAAGGTAAGCAATTGGAAGAGCAATAAATAGAACCTGTTCCCGGATTAAAATGATTCAGACGGTAAATTGGACATTTTCTCGTACACATCCTTGACTAACTTGACTTTGTTAAGAATAATGTAATCCTTCTGATGCAGTCTGAATTAGATGTGTTGATCACTGTATCTGAGATCTATATTCTTACATTGACAGATAACAACTTTCAACATTTCATTGGTTGTGCATGGGACAGTTTCCGAGTACAACTCCTCGTTAACTGTAAGTTGATGGATTTTTCTTCAAATTTGATCACTGTAAACTTTTGTCTATGCAAGCGGAATTTGACTTATTGAATGGGATGATTTGTACCACACAGGGTGAAAGCAATCCTTATTCTGTTCCCAAGAGCATGGGGATTTTCAAATTGCTTGAAAGCCCTAAAAGTATAACAACAACATCAGTATCCCAGAGGATAATTGCAAATCATGATGCTTACTTGGTAATTTTGAAATCCTTGTCTGTCTTTTGGCTTATGTGCACTACCATTGTCAAGAGATTTAAAACCATATTTGATAACTCTTGTACAAGCAAACTAGCCATCATTCGTTGAGCGATTCTTCCACAATATCGCAACCATAATTTTCACACTGGATGTTTGTAAAACTAAATGAAGATATTGTAGCAAAATTTCTGCTGTTGAGAGTGCTGATAAAGTCATTCCTCTGTTGTCTTTGATGCAGAAACGCAATGCCAAAAAGAAGGAGAGCGAAAAGAAATACTATGCACAGAAGACATATGTCTCGGGAGATTAGGCCTTATGGAATATATAGTAAAGTTGACCGGTGCTCATTGAAGAGCTGTGCCTTGTTGAGGTTATAGAAAAACGCCATTTTGTGTAGAGCATTTCCTTTTCCTTTCCTTTTCCCATTTCAGTGTATCTCTTTTAGGATAGAGATGAGAATCGGAGCAGTATTTTTAACCTCGTCAAACCCCCTTGTGCATATTTATGATCAAAATTTATTTGGGTGTTTACACTTGTCCCCATTTATGCCACTCTTCTCATTGTTTTGATTCATTAGGTTATGCTGCATTACCTTTCTTCTTTATTACAACGCCCGTTCAACAAGTGAAAGACCGATTGTCGCTAGACCAAATTCTCACTGACTTTTGTATCTTCCCTCTTGGTTAGCGGGCTTAGATTCCAAATAGTCATCGATTAATCCATCTTTCAGCTGGTTTAGTTGCCTAATTACAAAACCGTAAGCTAAACTGAAGTGTTACTAAAGGAAATTGTATGCTTTCGCTCAGGGTCCCGCGTTAGAATTCACTTATAATCCCAACAAGGGAGCGTCAAGTGAAGTCAAGTGTTTGTTAGGAGTACCAAGTGTCACGGGCCATGTGTTAAAAACAAAGAAAATGCCCAAGACATCATATATCTAAGCCCATGAAGCCATGTCTTCATGGAAGCTTCTGGAACGTCCCGGAGAAATCAAGAACGTGGCGGAGCATTCAAGATAATCTTAGGGCATTCCGGAACATTCCACACAAGTGTACATATTTAAGCCTCACCTAGAATAATCTAGATTAGGCAAGTTGTATCTAGAACTATGCTAGATATTTTTGGATGTAAGTAGGGGATTCTAGAACCCTCCATTGAGGAGGTGACTTAGGCCTATAAATAGGAGGTAAGGCCATTTGGCCAAACCATCCCAAGAATTGTAAGCAATTGTAAAGTTCTCTTAACTTTCAATACAAAGCTTCCTTTCTCCCATCTTCTAAGTGATCTTAGCATTCTCCAAGCTATCTTAGCTTTCTTTGTGATTCGATCCGGGGAAGCGAGGCTTCGAAGGCTTACTTAGCTTGTTCATCGAGGTATTCAAGTCTAAGTGCCGCACGGGCGGAAGGCTTAAAGAGTCATCCCGTGACAGCTGGTATCAGAGCCAAGCTCGTGAATCACTTGAAGGAAAGTAGGATATGGCAAGTGGAGAGATGGTGTCCGGAGTCTCCGATCTAAGGGAGCGTACTGCCGAGGTCCAAGACGTTGCCAAGAGCAAGCCAAAGTTAAAGGACTTGCAAGCATCGATGGAGACCATGGAAGAGCGACTCGAGAAGGTGGAACGAACCATACTCGAGTTCGATACTCGACTTGATGAGGACGTTGTCGACAAGGAGGAAATCCAAACCATGGTGGACAATGGTAAGGATGAATTGCGTGGCTTGGTGGAAGGGCTACGAGATGAGCTCCTTGGCGCTCTCAACACCATGGCAGACAAGATGCGGAGGGAAGTCCAGGTTCACCTTGACAACATAGAGGCAAGGTTTGTGGCGCTTCAAGAAGAGATAAAGGACACAAGGGAACTTAAGGGAGATGTGGCGTTTTGTAAAGAAGCAGTCGTGAAGCAATTCGTGCAAGGGCCGAGGGAAATCAAGGCGTTGGACTCCAAGGTAATCGACTCCTTTAAACCCAAATCCTATAATGGGAAGAGGGAAGCAAAAGGAGCTCGACACATTCATGTGGAACGTGGAGCGATACTTCAAGTACCTGAAGCTTGAAGATGACGAGTCCAAAATCTCAACGGCAACCATGTTCTTAGCTGACAATGCCCTTATGTGGTGGCGTCGTCGGAGCATGGAGATTGAGCAAGGTACGTTCTCTCTCACCACTTGGGATGAATTTAAGAAAGATCTTATGTTGCACTTCTATCCCCAAAATGCCAAGTACGAAGCCAAGGAGAAACTAAAGTGGCTCAAGCAAACGGGGAGCGTCAAAGACTATGTCAACGCCTTCGTGAGCTTGTTATTCGAGGTGCCCAACATGTTAGAGGGAAGACAAGCTCATGTACTTCATGAGTGGACTGCAAAATTGGGCAAAACTCGAACTACAAAGGAGACACATGCAAACATTGTCTGATGCCATTGCCGCTGCCGAATCCTTGATTGAGTTTAAATCAAGCCACCAAGGTGATTCCAAGTCCACGGGGAAGAAGGGTAACCATGAGAGAAGTGGGGGAGAACATAAGCCGAAGGACAAGGCCGAGACAAGCAAACCGAAGGAGAAGAAAGCCGATAAGCATGACAAAGGCAAGGGTAAGTCTTGGCAACCCACTTGTTACCTATGCGACGGCCCTCACATGATGCGAGATTGCCCACAAAAGAAAGCCCTTAAGGCCATGGCTTTCAAGGAGGACAAGGCCGAAGAGAGTAACGATGCAACGATGGGATGCATCCGTCTACTGAATGCCATCCAGACAACCCTCCCACAACCTAAGGCTCAAGTTGGGGGAGGATCATTGTTCGTCGACGTCAAGACTGGTGACAAGACGACGCGTGTGTTGGTGGACACGGGAGCAACACACAACTTCATGACGTCGGAGGAAGCCACAAGGCTTGGCCTCCGAGTCACAAAGGAGCCTGGTAGCGTGAAGACGGTAAATTCCGCCGCCACCCCCATTGTTGGAGTTGCGCGTAATGTACATGTAGACATTGGCACATGGAAGGGAACGATCGACTTCACCGTAGTCAAGATGGACAACTATGGCGTAGTCATTGGGTTAGAGTTCATGGACAAGGTACGAGCCTTTCCCATTCCCTTCTACAATATCTTCTGTATCCTAGCCGACGGGAGACAACCTTGCCTGGTGCCATTGGAAAGGCAAGCCAAGAAGTGTACCCAACACTTGTCGGCAATTCAATTTGCCAAATCTTGGAAGAAAGGCGAGGCCACATTTCTTGCAACCCTAATGTTGAATGAAGGGGAAGAGAAGTACGGGCCTTTGCCGAAACAAGTGGAAGACGTCCTTGCGGAGTTTGTGGACGTGATGCCTAAGGAACTGCCAAAGAAGTTGCCACCAAGGAGAGAGGTCGACCATGTGATTGAGTTGGAGCCTGGTGCTAAGCCTCCCTCCAAATCACCTTATAGGATGTCGCCACCCGAGTTGGAGGAATTGAGGAAGCAACTCAACGAGCTACTTGATGCTGGCTACATCCAACCCTCCAAGTCCCCATATGGTGCACCCGTCCTGTTCCAACGCAAGAAAGAAGGTAGCCTAAGGTTGTGCATCGACTATAGAGCATTGAACAAGATTACCATCAAGAACAAGTACCCACTTCCGTTGATCGCCGACTTATTCGATCAACTTGGTGAAGCAAGGTACTTCACAAAGTTAGATCTTCGATCGGGATACTACCAAGTGAGGATAGCCCCTGGAGACGAATCGAAGACGGCGATGGTGACCAGATATGGAGCGTTCGAGTATAAAGTCATGCCATTTGGTCTGACCAATGCCCCCGCAACATTCTGCACATTGATGAACAAGGTATTCCATCCTTATCTTGACAAGTTTGTCGTGGTTTACATTGATGATATCGTTGTCTATAGCAAGACATTGGAGGAGCACGTCAAGCACTTGCGCATAGTGTTCAAGACCCTTCGGGAGCATGAACTCTATGTCAAGAAGGAGAAATGCTCCTTTGCCACAAAAGAAGTAGAATTTCTCAGCCACAAGATAAAGGAGGGGAAACTTATGATGGAAAAGGGCAAGATCAAGGCCATTCAAGAGTGGGAACCGCCGACCAAGGTACCAACACTACGATCCTTTCTGGGGCTAGCCAACTACTATCGGAGATTCATAAAAGGGTATTCAGCTATAGCGGCACCCTTAACAGACCTTCTTAAGAAAAACAAGGCATGGGAATGGACGGACCGGTGTCAAGAGGCCTTTGAGAGGTTGAAGAAGGCCCTAATGGAGGAGCCTGTACTAAGGTTGCCCGACCTTAGTAAGCCATTTGAGTTGCACACTGATGCTTCCGACTTTGCCATAGGAGGAGTGTTGATGCAAGAGGGACATCCGATAGCCTATGAAAGTCGCAAGCTAAACAATACCGAGAAGAGGTACACGACCCATGAAAAGGAGATGACCGCCATCATCCATTGCCTTAGAGTTTGGAGGCATTACTTGCTTGGTACCCCATTCATCATCAAGACGGACAACGTTGCCACTAGCTACTTTCAAACCCAACAAAAGCTCACACCTAAGCAAGCAAGGTGGCAAGAGTTCTTAGCGGAGTTTGATTACAAGCTAGAGTACAAGCAAGGAAAGGAGAACGTGGTGGCCGATGCTCTAAGTAGACGAGTAGAGTTAATGGCTACGGTACTCAAGCCGCAAAGCCATCTCTTGGGCCGTGTCCGAGAAGGTTTATCACATGACGTCCAAGCCAAGAACATTGTGGAGTTTGTCAAGGAAGGGAAGACAAGAAGGTTTTGGCTTGAGGACGACTTGCTATACACCAAGGGCAAGCGGATCTACGTCCCAAAGTGGGGAAGCTTAAGGAAAGAAATCTTTAAGGAGTGCCATGACTCAATGTGGGCAGGACATCCTGGCACCCACCGCACGTTGGCTTTGGTGAGCGATGCTTATTATTGGCCACAAATGCGGGATGATGTAGATTCATACGTGAAGACTTGTCTTGTGTGCCAACAAGACAAAGTGGAACAAAGGCAACCGGGAGGACTGTTGGAACCACTTCCCACCCCATCAAGACCATGGGAGTGTTTGACCATGGATTTCATCACACATTTGCCCAAGTCTGATGGATGTGGATCTATCTTCGTCGTGGTCGATAGATTCACCAAGTATGCCACTTTCATACCCGCACCTGTGGAGTGCACAGCCGAAGTAGCTGCACGCTTATTTCTAAAGCACGTGGTGAAGTATTGGGGTGTTCCGAGGAGCATAGTCAGCGATCGAGATGCTCGCTTCACGGGTAGATTTTGGAAGGAGCTCTTCAAGCTACTTGGCTCAAAGTTAGACTTCTCCACAGCTTTTCATCCCCAAACTGATGGACAAACGGAGCGGGTTAATGCATTGTTGGAGACTTATTTGCGGCACTATGTTAGTGCCAATCAACGAGATTGGGCTAAGTTACTTGATGTTGCCCAATTCTCTTATAACTTGCAACGTTCGGAGTCGACGAGGAAAAGTCCGTTCGAGTTGGCTATAGGGCAACAACCCTTGACCCCGAACACGGTCATGACTGGCTACACGGGGAATAGTCCAGCCGCTTTCAAAACCGCTAAGGAGTGGCAATTAGCCCACGAACTTGCTCGAGCTCATTTGGAGAAGGCTTCAAAGAAGATGAAGAAATGGGCGGATCGTAAGCGAAGGAATGTGGAGTTCCAAACTGGCGACCAAGTCTTTGTGAAGCTCAATGCGTCTCAGCACAAGAGTACTCGTGGCTTGCACAAGAGCTTGTTGCGGAAGTATGAGGGACCATTCCCTATCATCAAGAAGGTTGGCAAAGCCGCTTATGTTGTGGAACTCCCACCCCGCCTCAAGTTTCACCCGGTGTTCCATGTGAGCAACTTGAAGCCTTATCATGCAGACAATGAGGAGCCAAGCCGAGGTGAGTCTCATCGAGCACCCCCTTTGATGACGGAGGCATTTGACAAAGAAGTGGAGAGCATTGAAGCCAAGCGTGTCGTGGTGCGACCAAGACAACCAAAGCATGTGGAGTACTTTGTCAAATGGAAGGGGCTACCATACTCCGAAGCAACATGGGAGAAGGAGACGTCCTTATGGCAATATAAGGACTTGATTCAGACATTCGAGAGGCAAGAGTCGACGAGGACGTCGACGGCTTAAGTGGGGGAGGATGTCACGGGCCATGTGTTAAAAACAAAGAAAATGCCCAAGACATCATATATCTAAGCCCATGAAGCCATGTCTTCATGGAAGCTTCTGGAATGTCCCGGAGAAATCAAGAACGTGGCGGAGCATTCAAGATAATCTTAGGGCATTCCGGAACATTCCACACAAGTGTACATATTTAAGCCTCACCTAGAATAATCTAGATTAGGCAAGTTGTATCTAGAACTATGCTAGATATTTTTGGATGTAAGTAGGGGATTCTAGAACCCTCTATTGAGGAGGTGACTTAGGCCTATAAATAGGAGGTAAGGCCATTTGGCCAAACCATCCCAAGAATTGTAAGCAATTGTAAAGTTCTCTAACTTTCAATACAAAGCTTCCTTTCTCCCATCTTCTAAGTGATCTTAGCATTCTCCAAGCTATCTTAGCTTTCTTTGTGATTCGATCCGGGGAAGCGAGGCTTCGAAGGCTTACTTAGCTTGTTCATCGAGGTATTCAAGTCTAAGTGCCGCACGGGCGGAAGGCTTAAAGAGTCATCCCGTGACACAAGGCAACTCCAAATCAAATTAATAACATCTAGGAGTCGGATATCATTAAAATCATAATTAACAGACAAATCATTCTTTGACAAATTCCTGCACTGCTCTGCTTCTATTAACAATTAACACTAGTTTCTGCTTCCGCTGTTTCCAAATATATGATACAACATAGTCGAAAAACCCTACCGCCTTTCGGTCTCATCGGAACCAAGTAATGGGCGTGGTGGTGTTTTGTGGAGGTTGTGGAATCATACAATGTTGCTGCTGCCACTGAGGAAACCCTTCAATACTCGTCCACATTCCTCCGCTGCACCCGTTAGCCATCCCTTGTCCTTCTCTGCTCCCTTCTTCAATCTCCATTGTTGCTGTTCCCATCTCCTCCGGGGCCTCAGATTGCGAAACCTCCATCGATGGCCTAGGCCCAAGCTTGCTATAAACCCATGGGACAACAGCTTTACATTGATTTTCGCTGTTTTGCACCGCCTCATCATCTCCCGCAGCTGATTGTCTCAGACCGTAATGGCCGGAGCGCAGAAAACCAATAAACCATCAAATTACCAAAATTTCGAGACGGAAATCGTCAGGAAATCCAAATGGGTAGTCGAAATGCGTACCCTTGAAGCCGGGAATCAATTCGGAACGGAAAGAGAAAAAAAGAGGGGAATTGACGGGCTTGAAGAGCATAACGGCCTTCTCATTGTTTCCTGACGGCAATTCCTCAATAATAGGAGCATCCGACTTCACCTGATTCGGAGCCGCCGCAAAATCAGCCTCCTCCTCCTCCATGATGGGCGGCAAATGAGCATCCTAAATTACCAAATTTTCACACATACCAACACATTGAATCAGAAAAATTTGAAAACTCAACAGATTTGGGTCGAAATTTGAAGAGAAGAAGGCAAAGAAAAGGATGGGGTTTTTGCATACCAGACGGCGAATCTTTCTGGCGGGAGGAGAGAGAGAGAAGTCGGAGAAGTATTCGTTGACTTGGTCAAGCTCCTCCACCTCCTTCCTCTTCTTCATCGTTTTCATCAGCATTCCGTCTGAGACGAAGTAGTCCTCCATGTGAGAGATTTCTGCAACTCTGTTTTCAGATTCTGAGGAAATGGAGAATTGGGTTTTTGTTAAATTGTGTGATTGTTGAGGTTTTGATTGGATTTTTTATTTGATTTGCAGAGACAACCTGAAAGTCTGGAACTTTAAAGAGTGTAAAAAGAGGAGGGAGGGAGGGAGGGGGAGAGAGAGAGAGAGAGAGAGAGAGAGAGGTTTGTAACTTTCTGTGGGGGTCCAGATTTCTCCAGAAGAGAAAATTGACACGTGATCCATGTGCCTGTTAAAGTCCATTTCTCTCTATTGGCTCCTTATGCCCACCTGTGGTATGGCCCCTAAGGTCATCTACAACCGAAGGCTAGCCAGATGGCTCGTTTGAGCCCTCTAGCCCTCCAAGATTCCTCAAGATATTAATATTTTAATGAACAGTACAGGGCCATATTTGCCTCCGTCTCCAACCGAGGGCCAGAGGGCCAAAGGGCTCGTTTTAGCCCTGTCACAAAAAACCGTCTCCAACCAAGGGCCAAAGGGCCATAGGGCCAAACATAATTTATTATTTAAAAAATACAATTTAATGTTGTATAAATGGCCTAGGAAGTTATACGAAAAAAATAGAATTGAAAAAAAATATGAAACAAATTTTGTGAAATAAAAGTTATAGGAAAAAAAATATGAAACAAAATTTGATTCATATGAAAAGGAAAAAAAAGGGGGAAAAAAAGAAGTTTACATTCATTAAAAAAAATAAAAAAAAAAGAAGTTTAAATTCATTAAAAAAAAAAAAAAAGAGGCCTAATAATACAACGGCTACTAGCCGTTATATTAAAAAACATTTCAAACTATTAGTGTCGGTTATAACCAACACTAATAGTAGAACTATTAAAAAAAAATATATATCTTTAATGCTGTCAGCTATAACCGACAGCAATAGGAAATCATTAAAAAAAAAATAGCCAGCCCTCCAGCCCTCTCCGATCCCGTGGGGCCCTCCCAGATTCCAGAGCCCTCTGACCTAGCCCTCGGTTGGAGACGGTTTTATGGCTATTTTCGGCCCTCTGGCCCTCTGGACCCTTCGGTTGGAGATGGCCTAAGCTTTGAAGTAAATATCTATTATTTGTCAATAGCAAAAATTACAAATAAATAAACAGCCGGTGATCTAGTAGTATTTTTTTTCACTTATAAGTAAAAAGTTTTAAGTTTGATTCTTGCCAAAGGAGAATTTGAACCACATTATTATTAGCCAATTTTGAGGCTAAACCCACCATCCCCTAATATCATTTGTTAAAAATTACATACAAACAAAATTCTAATTTTGTCATTAAATTTAAAATTGGGTAGGAAAACAAGGTTGTGGGGTAGGTCTAGTAGCTCTCAAATATATCCTTATACTCAGAAAACACTATTTCCTCTAAATCTTTTCCAACCAAAATTTCAAAATATCATTCTCAAATATCTTCTGTTTTGAATCCAAACAACGCTGTTGAGATTTGTCAGGGAAAGTGTTTCGATGATCCAACAGATTCTTCGTTGATATCAGTAGTGATTGCGATGAAGAAGATTGGGATTATTTTTTCGTAGTGTTCTACGCCTGCGAGGTGAACAAGTTCTAGACACCGTGAAAGGGGGTTGTCATCAAATTGTGTTGGGTGATGTCATTGGCAGACCCATCAAAAGGGAAGGGGGTCAGCTGATCCTCCGAACTTCGATGAATTTCTATGGATGACTTGAGTGTTGTCCCTTTAAAGGTTGGTGTTACCCTTCATACATGCTCTAGAACTGCTTGATAAAATGCCTTAAAGAGTAGTTGTCCTTCTTAGTATTTTTTTTTAAATATCAACTTGGGCATTATATTCTTGATATACGTTCAAGATTAATTTTCTCAATTGAAAGGAATTGGTTGTCTTGCAAAAAGATGGTGGATACAAGGAAGAATAGAGTTTAACCATGTGTATTTGCTAATTATATTGACTTTGGTTCTATCGGTTGCTAGTGCTTAAGTGGAGAGAACCTTTTCCAATTTATTGTGAAAAATCCATTGCGTTACCGATAGGAGATCCATAGTTGAGTCACGGTAGTTTATGTAGAGAGCATTTTTTTTTCTTCCATTTATAATGATGCTATAATGCAGTGCTTTCAAAATATGAAAACACGTTGTGAACAGTTGTAACTTGTATTATTATTTGTTTTATAAATTAGGCTTTTAGTCAAAATAGTCTCTGAGATTTGCATAACATATCACTTTGGTCCCTGAGATTTGAAATCAATAGAAATGATCCCTGAAATTGTCCACCATCAATCATTTTGGTCATTCCGTGCAAACTTATGTTAAATAAAGATCAAAATGACAAATATGACCTCAATTTAATAAACAATAGACCAAAATGATTTGCCAAAAATTAAGGGTATTTTGGTCATTCTATTCTTATTTAATGAAGATTTTTCAAGAAATGACCAAAATAATTGATGGTGGACAAAATCAAGAATCAATTTTATTGATTTCAAATCTTCGGGACTAAGGTGAGGGGTTATGCAAATCTTAGGAACCAAGTGTTTGTGAACTTTTACATGTGACCCTCCAAATAATTTTTCCTGGATTTGTGTCTAAGTGGTGTGGGGTGGCTCTTATTTTCAGTTCTAATTTTAAATTTTTGAAAAATAGTTAAATTAATGCAAGGATAAAAATATTGGTGGGTGGACAAAGAGTGTTTTATGAGGGGTGAATATAAGATGGCGGGGAAATAGGGTTATGAGGTGGGTTTAGTAGCTCTCTTTATTTTATTTTTTAGGAACAAATTTTATTTTTTAGGAACAAAAAGTGTATGGAGTTAACTTTGGAAAGTAAATTAAAAATTAGATTTGCAACAAACATGCAACGTTGAAGACTTATAGGTGAGAAAATAACGATATTATCCTTTCAAATGTGCCACATGCAAGTCCACATTACTTAAATTGAGAAAAAATTGGATATAATAGTTTCTAATATAATAATGTGGATAAAATTAGCAGTTTTTTTAATTGAATATAGACTTATTTTACCGAAAATATAATTTAAAGATCTAATTTGTACTCATGTGTAAAAAGAGAATCGACAATTCACCTCCTATCACCCAAAAAAAATTATACAAGTGAACTGAAATAATGCAGTTGGATGACTTTCTCCTTCACTTGCAAGCGGGAAATTAAGCTTATACTAACATCTGCATTAAATGAGGTGGACATGATCTCTATTGGATTTGCATGTTAAACACACATGACATGACCGAAGATCCATGATCTCCCATATCGTTAAGACTTAAGAGCCTTTTTAAATATGAGATTCTTAATAATGTTAATGCAAGTCGTTCACCACACTCATAGTTACTAACCAACTTCTCCAATAACTTTATTCACAAGGCACATACAATCAAAACATTATACATTTGCTTAAAATTTATACACGTAGCGAATTTATTCATCTTTATATTATTTATTTATTTATTATTTTGTTGTGGGGTATTAGAAACTTGAACATGATTTCTCTCCAAACTATTTCCACAGAATCTCTACTACTTGCAACTTTACCATTTACTTCCCTTCTATAATTTGTTCCGGACTCCCAGTTGATAATGCAAGGATTTGAACAAGCCACTAGTTTCTTTCATCGTAATATCTGTAAATACGGATTCTGCACCGGTGCTTTCATTATGCTATGGATCTTCGACGGGAGAAAGTAACAGGATGATTGAAGAATAACTTAGCATGGGATATAAATTGGCGTCGAGAAAGTGAGCATACTGTTTAATTGCGGTATCTCTTTCTGGAAGGTCACTAGTAAGGAAGTCAAATGGTGCAGGCTTGCTGGTGTCGACCAAGGGCTCCCATCTGTATCCAGGCCTCTCCGGCAGAGAAATGATCACAGCTAAGTGGCTGGCATTGAAGCGATATACAGCTCTCTCTTCACAGCGTCCATCTGGATTAACATGTAGAGTCACAGACCAGTTAAATAGCAGACGTTTACAACCAAAACAACCCAATAAGAGGTGCGCATGCTAGGACAAACACTTTTCTTCATCCAACCTATGTAATAGTGTTCTTAGACTGAACCACAACCGACATTCAAACAAGAATTCATCTTATCTGCCAAGCTATGTATCTATGGCCAACCAACGAAGACTTAAGTTGAGGACCTAATTGTTGATTTATTAGATTGCCACACTATATATCCAACCTGCACATTGGGTATAGTCTGGCACAAGTACATGAATACAATGACAAAATTTACATCATAAGGATTCGACGTAACTGTGGAGTGCCGGCTGTCGACTACCTGACGCCCTCCCCTTCCTTTACCCGGGCTTGGGACCGGCCATGTAAGATAAACTTACATAGGCGGAGTTACAAAATTTACAAAAGAAATTAAAAAAATTACTTATCGTTGTACTTTTGTTACTTTTATATTTCTATACAAACTTTTTCATCGTAATTCGTGTAACCTTGGTTTGACCTGTCATACTTTTACACAAGCATCACATGGGACACTAGTGTGCATTTGTCATATAAACATGGGTGTGCACCTTTAGGTTTAAGTCTGTTCTAAAAATGGATAGAGTTCAGTCTCCGAATTATAAGGCAAAGAACTCGTGTTCAAATTCAAACACCCTGCGTGATCAAGGTTGATGGCTTCTTAATCTAGAGACCTACAAAAAGGTGTGCCAAGGCTCCTTTTAGGGCTCAAGCATTGATTTGTACATGTTGGAAAATGGGCAGACCAGTTGGAAGAGTATTTGTTACGTATTTGAGAATGGGAGCATTCAGAAGAACCCAGGATATACCATTTTCATGATACGTCTGATGGGGTACTTCCATGCAAGTTAAGACTTTTATGTAACACAAGGGCATAAGGTCACTGTGGAAGTTGGAACATGGTAATCTTCTGCTTATCCCCATTTCAATAAACAAGGTACGATAATTAAAACTTGATTTTAAACTGCATTAGTCAGGGTGGTCAATACCAGAGTAAAGGCAACAAAGCGGCTTGTGTCAGACCAGTCTGGCACCCCAGGAGCATGACCATGCCACTGCAGCCTCTCTGCCGTTGGGAAGTCATTTAACCCAAGTGACTTGCATTCCCTGCATAATTCGCAGTGAGGAAATACAAAATATCAACCAGAAAGCACAGTATAATTACCTCCAACCAGTAATATAGATACATACTGGCGGAATTTGGTCATGAGGTAGCAAAATCTGAAAAAGTCCGATGAGGACTCTTCTTTCTTATCCCATCGAAAGTAATTAATCTACAGCACAGCAACAACCATAAAAATGAATAAAATAAAATAATAACAAGGGTATGACAGAAAGTGTATTGACAAAGGTGTAGAGAAAAACATAATTATCATGGCAATATTTGTTGTTGTTTCCCCCTTTTGTATGACCATATTCATCACCCATACACAGCATCGGGACACCCTGATAAATAGAAAATTTTGGAATAATGTATTCAGTAAGCAGACAAAAGTATGCAACATCGTCAATCTACCTAGAAAGTGCTGCATTTAAACAATATCTGCAAGGCACCATAGAGTTATGCTCCAAAAAACTACAAGATGCAAAATCAAATTAATGTACAAATTCAGGCTCTTCTGTTATCTTTAGAATGAGAATTCAGCAGGATCCATTCGAAACTGGTAGGGTAGTATAAAAGTCTCCATGAAACCCTTCTTAATTTAACAAGATAAAGATCAACACCATTCAATAGTAAACCAATTTAGTAGTAGCACTACTTTTCTATTTCTCCTTTATTTCCTTGCACTGAAAACACACCAATGAAGAAGTTGAGGTTCCACCATAAAACCAATTGGCAATATGGGAAGTAGCCCAACTTACTTATAAGCCCATGCAAGGTCCCTCCTCCCATCAATGTGGGATCCATTCTCAACAAGGCCCCTCAAGTGTGGCAAATTTTCAAGTATAACACGTGGACAACACAACGGGGTGACATGGAGCGCGTGTGGCCATTTGGCTTCACACGTGAGACAACCTCTAATACCATGAAGAAGTTGAGGTTCCATCATAAACCAATTGGCAATATGGGAAGTAGCCCAACTTACTTATAAGCCCATACAAAGTCCTTCCTCCCATCAATGTGGGATCCATTCACAACAACCAATTCTCATGCCCTACTATTTTGATGTCCATGAACTTCAAAGATGCACATGCCCCTTCTCAGTTAATTGAAAATGTTTGTAAAGAAGTCTTTAAGAAACTAAAAATTTTAATAAAAAATAAAATTCAGACTTGCATTACAAGAAATCAAGGCTGACTAATAAGGAAGAGTCATAGTAGTCCTAATTAAGAGTCATACTATAAGATGCACTATAACTGAACCTCAATTCGATAAAATAGTAATAAGAACAGCTTCTTACTTGGGAAACCATGAGGCAGACAAAAAAATTCCGCATTTGTCGTTTCCTCAATTTCTTCACTGAAATGCTTGTTAACTCTCCCTCCTAAATAACAGTACATTAGAAAAAAAAAAAAAAAAAAAAACCCTAACACCATTAAGATTTATAACAAAAACACTTCAAGAGATCAATTGGATGGAAAAAAAAACTCATCTATCCAATTGTCATGCTCTACTTGCTTCTTAATTGTGAAATTCCTTTGGTGTTACAAACTAAGTTGGGTTTTTCTCTAAAGTATAAGGTTTGAAGCGTTTTTCTCTAGATTGTGATGTTATGGGAGGCTTGTATGTGAAAAGCCCCTAAATGATTGGGTTAAAAAACAGAATGACAACTAGTGATGCGGAGTACAAATCTAAGATACATGCACAAAAGGAGTCCATTTCCTGTAGGGCTGGCCAAGGGTCTAATTTTAAAGATAACCCTTTTAATCGTTCCATGGGATACAACAGAGAAAAAATACCACAGAAGTGATGCGGAGTTTCTGTCCCATAAACACATAAAAAGCATATTTCCCGTCTTCAAGGGTAATCAACCTTCTAAAAGCAAGAAAAATCGATTCCCTGCCTAACAGATTAACGAGAAAATCAAAAAGTGAAAATAGGTCGAATATGAGTGGAAACTAGAAGACCTAAGTGCAGAATATATATCATCATAAAGCCAGATGAGACATTTTAGACCTTAAGACTTTAGCATGCCTGGTCATAAGGATTACAGATGTGGTAACCTTATCACACAGACTACCATCAGCATCAAGGGCTAAATCCAACCATCAGAGAATACATATTTATCAATATTCACCTGTCCACAGTTCCAGCTATTATTATGACTCTCTCCATCATTGTTGTCTTCTCCATTTGCCAGGTTATGTTTGGTGTTATAGATTACTAAATCAGCTAAAGTAAAACTATCGTGTGCACAAACAAAATTGATACTATTCCATGGCCTCCCTCCTTCCTGGTCCAAAGAAATAATGTGTCAGAGAGAGAGAGAAGAAGAAGAATAAGCAGAAGAAGCGCATACACGATGTTCCACATTCCAGGAGAGGATTCTCAAAGTGCAGAATATTAGTCATTGTCAAAAGAGACGGGAAAAACTTGAATTACCTGATATAAATTAGGGCTCCCACAAAGGCATTCAGCCAAAGCCCCAGAAAAGCCACTGTACCTTTGATAAACTGCCGCACTGTCACGATACTGAAAGTTACAGGAATTTACAAACTGTATCAAACTAAAATATCAAGGTAAAACACAATCATTGCCTAACTGGCTTTGTGACTAACCTATAAAGTATACCACAAAGTCCTATTAGCAGGTTTCAGGACTCAAAGATGCTGGGGGAATAAGGTCATGAGTTATAACACCAGACAACAAAAAAGGTTTCAAGTAAAGCCAAATGTTTCTGTCTCAAACGTATTATTGCACTTTAATGGTTGGTTAGATTTTAGTGAGATAGATCAACTGGCCGAAAGTATGAGATGCCAATGATCCAAAAAATAGAATAATTAGACTTGGTTATGTTGAACAAGATGCATTGGTAGATTGTTTAAGAGTCATTTGCATGAACTAATTCCAGATCAATGAATTAATAGGTTTAGGATACAGAAAGAGTTAGCCCCCAATCACAATACCTGAAGAGGCCAACCCAACAACAAGAGAAAGAACTCTAATCGATTCTGATCATCTGATGTATGAAGCTCTCCAAAATCTAAAACACGTGTAGGAAGAATCTCCTATTTCTGATTTAACTGATTAGCACGCCCAATTTGTACTTGTCAGAAGATTTTCTCAAAGATTAAACATTTGGACTGGATGGCCAGAAAATACTCTTCATGGATGTACGCTACAACTTAAGTTTGAATGTTTATTGTTTAATGGCACAGCCTTCCCAGATCCTTGTGCAGCCAGTTCTATAATAGTGTGGAAAAGAAGATTGGGTCAATTAGGACTTTTCTTACCTGAAGAACATGTGGATGTCTTTTCTGCTGTTATTATGTTCTTTATCTCAGTCACTATGGGTTAATTGAAATGACTACAAAACTATAATGTCTAAACATACCTTCCCATTCCATTCTGACCAACTACCCCAGTGAGGAAACATACCAACTTGGTACAGGCCTCCAGCATCCCATGCTTCAGCTATAAGCTGATTGGGAACAAAAAAAAAAAAAAAAAGCATAGACAGGTCAATCACTTATCCTTTAAATACTAGCACACTAGTAATAGTAATTTCCAATAAGCTGTAGAAATTAACAAAAGCTAAATTCATATGCAGGACCAAATCATGGAAACCAGTAAGATAAATTCTTGTGCAGGATCATTAGGCTCAACAAAATTCTAGAAACAAGAATACAAAAAAGAAGGCAAGGAAATTATTATGGAAAATTCAAAACAACTTTGAAAAACAAAGGAAATGGGACACTCCAGGAAGCACGAAGATGACATGAAATATGTTTTATGATTTAAAAGAGCATCACCTTGCTAGGGTGTGGCGATGTTAGGGTAGTCCGTGTTTCTAATATATAAGCATCTCTCACTTGACTTTTACATGTCTATTAACTATTTTATGGCAGATTAATGATTAATAAGAACAAAATTAAGTATACCCCTTTAGATTTACTGTTAAATTTCAATTCATAGAATGGAGATACGAACTTGATGAAATAACCATTCCGAACTGATTAAGTAATAAGTAGTACAGAAGAATTAGATGGGCTTTGAAAATTGACCAAGGTGAGTTGAGTCTCATATTTCTTCTAAGGCGTTGGTCCTCATAGCTGGTCACCCCTAAAAACCCAACTGTATCAATAATCTATGTTCTAGAATGTAGACATAGGGATGCTGATAAAAATGTGTAATTCAAATGACCCTTCAAAATCTTAGAAATACTGATAAAAATGTGTAACTTAATTGTGTCAACCAATGACCCTTCAAAATCTTAGAAATACTGATAAAAAAGGTTTAAAGTAAGAACCTTCGCTCCATGCAGTATTGGGTCATTACTTATCATGTCAACCAATGGTGGGGTAGCAAGAGGGGTTCCAGTTGTCAAAAAGTCACCTTCTATTGCACTCCCATATACATTAATTGCATCCCAGAGACTGTGGACAAAGAAATGAAGATAAAACGACTGAAATGACGCCAGTGTCCAGTATAAACTGATTCAGAATAGAGCATCTGGCCGAGACCTGCTACCCCTGGTCATAATAGAAGCAAGATCAAAGCGGAACCCATCCACATGCATCTCTGTTACCCAATATCTGTTGCGCAGAAAATGAAAACAATGACCTTTCTACCATTTGGAGTAAATAAGTAGCAGATGATGGTTACGGAAAAAAATCATTAGTTAAATACAACCACACTTCAAAATCATAGACATAACATCGAAATTATCAAAAAGTGATACACGACAAAGGATAGAGTTGCAATTTTTCAGACAAATGATGGAAGAGAAGATAGACAGCAGACAACAAGAAAAAGTGAGTGAGATTCATTCAGCTATAGCAGTGGCAGCTTACAAGAACATTAATTTGCTAGTTCCTTGCCATAATAATTAGAGAGGGAGAATGTCATGTAGACACAATCTGACAATGACATGATTCAGAAGCAAAATTGGGTTATGAATTGGCACTATTACATGACTATGCACAACATTAGGTCTCAGAGTCACAATGCAAGAAGTTAAAGTTGTCTATGCCTGCATGACCAAATAATATATGAAGCATGACACAGCCTTGGCTTCCACAATGCAGATTATCTACGGGAACTTTAAATAATTTCCAAATATCAAATTCACCAATGCAAATTTCAATTGATAGGAAATTCTATCGGATAAAAGCAAGACTGAACATTTGGGAAATTCTACCTCAAGCAGTCTACAATAAACTGGCGCACAACAGGATGGTTGCAATTGAATGTGTTACCGCATCCCGAATAATTATAGAACTCTCCCTGTTAAGAATAAAGGGACAATAGATTGAGTTCACAATGTAGGAATGAAGAGATGTCAAATAAAAAAAGATGGCACCAGAAAAATAAAAAATGTCACATATTTTTCAGTTTACGACACAAATGGATTCTAGGTCTGGGGCATACAAAGCAAACCTGACCTTGGTACGGTCTTCCAATTCAATATGCATATAAGTTATATGTTCAATGATCAATATCAATCGACCTGCTTTAGTAGATATTTGAAATATGATTACAAACAAAATATAACAGCATATAATTTTCTGCTGCTTCATTTCAGATTGACCATTTATCAGCTATGTAATTCATGAAAAATCTCCTCATAAAAAAGAACTCTCCGTAGTAAAAAACTGAATCAGGGGACAAGTATGATACTGATAAAACTGAATGAGCTACTATTGACAGAGAGATACCAAATTGGCCCACCACGACCGCGAGACTGGTAAATCACTTGCGTTTTAAACAAATTTAGCACAAGCAGTAGGGTAAACATCATTCCCTTAGGAAAAACTATATCTTACTGTTTTTTTCCCTCAGTTCGTGCTGCTTTTATTTGGATAGAATAAATATAAACTTAATTTTATTTATTGAATATGAAAGAAAATCTATAAAAAGGGATTTTAAAAGAACAGAAACTTACTTTCTTTTTGCTGAAATGGTTGATGCTTGATAGACAGACATTAGAGGACAAGACTTAAATCTACTACCAAATTCACTTCGAATTAGAAAACTTCACTTGGAGAGAAAGCAGCTAATTGCATCATATAAAAGCATGCTCTTCTTCAACAAAACAAAGCACAGAATAGAAGCTTACGAGATTAAAGCAAACATCCAATTACATGGAACAACAGAAATAGCAATAGCAAATAAACCCACCATGTTAAAAGCATTAAAATTGTCCTCAACTAGATTCAAGGACCGTAAACATTTAAAGTATTGAACAAGATCAACAAAGGAGAAAACCAATAAATTTGAGAAGCATATGATTTTCTAAGGAAAATAACGTTTTGAAAGAGTAAAACATAGTATGAAGTCATTGCACACAAAAAAGTTCATAATTTCAGAGCTATACCTTAGGCGCAAGCATGTAATAGACACTATTATCAGCACCTCTAAAAGACAACATGGGGCCATTTTCATTCCCTTCAGCTGGTGATTGAAGACAACATCCATGATCACCTAATTTTAATAGAACAATATTAGAAAACTTAAAACAAAATATCTCATCAAAACATTCTGACAGCATTACTAGTACGTGTCACCTCAATTCCACGTTTATGTGCTTCTTTAATGAGAAACTTGACTTCATTTATTGCATCACGGCCACAATTACGTATGCCAGCAGAAGAATATCTTATCATTGGTGAAAAGCAATTGATAGTTGAGTATCCCCAAAAATTTACCCTGGGAAAAATAAAAATTGACTTACACAAAATATATGGCTGAAGGCACCAAAATCTTTTCCTCAAGATTCTAGGAAGTCAAAGGTTAAAAATTTCAGACTTCAAAGAAAAAAGTTGAAATTTTCAGTCCAATTTTAAAGTTCTTTTCAACAAGGTGCATATTCTCTTATGGTAGAAAGCACCCATGAATCCATCCTACTCTAGAAAGTTAGCATCTACAGATTTTGATTTTAGAAGATTTGTTTCGAGTTACAATTTAGATTGTTGTCTTGCATACACATAAAGAAAACAATGTGTTGGGTTGTCCAGCCCATGATGAGTTTCCTAAACTTAATAGAACTAATCATCTATGAGGATATGAATCCTGCTCCCAAATGTGTTGCTTTCCCAATTGAAGAAGGTTGGACATACTTGGTAATGAGATTCTAATTAGGATAAGATTTCTTAATTGGTAAAGCCACTACTGTAGCTATATAAGAAGAGTCACTGCGCTCATTTACCTGTATCAGTAAGCAACAGAACAATGTTCAGCACACCATTCAAAGAGTTTGAGTGAGAGAATGTTGTAAGGCAAGGTGTGTGAAAGAGAGAAGAAAAGAGATGAGAATGCTCTTTTGTTTTCCTGTTCTTTTTATTTGTTCGTCGAGCCTTGAACCTAGATGCTTGATAAGATGTTTGCTTGTACCCATTATTTATATAGTGGAATTTTTTGTTGCTGGCCCGTGTATGTAAGCACATAGCCAAACCATATTCATTTTATATTATGGCGTACTTTCTTGCATTTCTTGAGTTTGTTTGTTGTTCCCATTCTTAAACAATTTCAAGACACAATGTACATAGAAGACAGAAGTATTGTACTTGTAGTCACCCGAGACAGAATTGTAGCTGAAGTACTCCAACTCATTGAACTCATGACATGGCATTAACTCTAAACAATTGATCCCAAGCTCCTACAAAACAAACAAAACCTAATAAGAACATCCACATGCTAACTCTAAACTGTTGATCATATTATTTGTGATTGTCCTGCTAAACACTTGATGTGGTAGATAAACACTTCAAACACTTTACGTAATAAAGAATATTATTCCTCTTCTATACATGAAATGATGGTTCTTCTTTATTTGGGAATACACTACAAAGTTGTTAAAGAGATACTATCATGTAACTTCATTCGAGTAAACACTTGTATATAAATAAAAACATATTTTGTTCCTCAACTATAACAGAAAAGTGAACCTTTTTGTTTGGTTGATGGCTCGTGGGAAAGTGAATACTAGTGACATGCTCCAAATAAGACAACCTTTAACCTTATATTAGTAATTAACAATGGCATATTTTGCATAAAGGGACTGAGAAGAGTTCTGATCATCTGGCACTGCCCCAATCTCAACACAAATCTAAGTTAGGTTGATAGGTGCCAACAAAAAGGCAATCGCTTCAACATGACCCAAGTCCCCAACTCCGGCTGTGCATATCATATGTCCAATGGGCTTCCAATGCACCATGCACACTCACACAGCCCAAGATTGTTTGACAGTATTAATTCGAAATAAAAATATATACCACCCTACCTAGTGAAACAAACCTCCCTATGAAGCAGTTTTCAGAATTTTTCCAGAATTTCTTTGAACTACTGACCTTTAAATGATCAAGTTTCTCCACCAAACCAAGGTATGTACCAGGAAAGTCAGTCACGCTCGATTCATGCCTTGTGAACCCTCGCACATGCATTTCATATATGATAAGATCTTTTTGTGGATATTTTAGTGGTAAATCTCCTTCCCAGTCAAACTGAAATAAAAAGGAAGAGCCAGTGTTGGAAAATATTCCAGATCATATAAGACAAATGCATAATGATTTATTCGCAAATTTAGTGATGTCCAAATAATTCTGTTGAACTGACTTTCATAAAAAGATTTCCATGGGAGTGAAAATACAAGTTATAGGTTATTTAAGTATTGTGAAATAAAAGATTAGAGAAACCAAAAACAGAGGCCAGTTATAGGTTCCTCTCAGGCTAAAAACAATCATGGGATGACGTTTCAAACTTATAACTTTTTCCCTTTTCTGTTACATCACAAGGGTATCAAGCTAAGAAAGCAATTATGCAATTTAAACTTATTCAACAGAAATCTAGCCTGTAGTCTCCTTGTCCCACCCCCAACCTACAAAAACAGGAAATGGCAACTTGAACATAATTTCCAGGCATCAAAGACCTATGACAAGGCAGGTATAAAGGCTCCCCGTGTAGTTAAATTACCCTATATTTGTGAAATGACCAAAAATTATTTAAATTGAGATGAATTCATTAATTTACTTGATTTCCAATGAATTTGCTTTAGAACAAAAGTTTTAAAGTCATGGAATTTATTTGGTAAACAATCCATTAGCCATCCCCCAATTAGACACCCAAATGAATTCCACAAAACTTAAACTACAAACTTTTTGTGAGGATTTCCAAATGAAATGAACTGAATTCAACAGTTACTGCCCTGTTCCAACTCAAATGAACTGAATTTAGACTTTAAAGTGTTCAAAACACACTATCACAGTTTGAAATCCTAGACTGATAGTGATGATAGGTGGATATGCAACCTTAACAACATAGGAGAACAAGTTAAAGTACAGAGATAAAAGAGATGCTTTATTTCTCTCTGTCTCATCCTGTTCAAATTGTTTTGCTAATGAAACCAAAACTACTAAGTTCTTCAAAAAGAACAAAGGAAAATCAATTCCTAGTCAAAAGGTGGAAAATCTGAAGCAAGGAGATAATATCGAAAGCAGGTGTGATAAGTTGTTACCAAATTTAAAACTAAAACAGATTTTGTGGATAAAGTACCTGATCATCAAAAGAAGGTACCGTTCCAGCCATTTGAGGCCAGCAATTACCATCAGGACCTAGCTTGCGGAATTCTCCTCTACGAATAACTGCCTAGACAAATTTTAAAAAAAATATATAAAAAATGAGTCCCCGCACATTAAATTTAAAACAAAAAACAAGTCATTAAAACCCATGCATGCATTATACGACTCATCTATAGAAGCAATCAACGTTCTTATTTTATGATGCGGAGAAGAAACCGCACAACTCCTATGAAACAACAGATAAAAGATGCCTTGCCGTTCATTGAGGTCAATAACCTTTGCATAAGGATCCAATACAATTCTAGAAGAGTCATAGTAGTGTCCCTCTTCAGGCGAAAACTTCCCATCAAATTTGTATCCGTAAAGGATATCTTTGAAATCTCCCTTGAGAAGTACATGCCACACATTTCCGGTCTTGTTGGTCAAAGGATCAAGAGGGATCAGCTCAGTAACTTTATCCTACATCAAATGCATATCAACGATTAATTAATCAATTATTTACATAGAACTCAAGTTAAGAAACTCCACAAGTTTCAATTTTTTTTATACAATCAATATTGGGGAGGGATGATTCAAACTTGGGACCTTGAATGCAAGGGAGAATGCTCTTAACCAACCTAGTATCAATTTAAGTTCAGTTAAGTAGAACTCAAACCACAAATGCACTGTCACTAAAAGAAGCAATCTTTCGGGCTTTTGGCCCGACAAAAAAAATATATTAACAGCAGCACGAGAAATTGGCAACAAAATGTTCAATTCATGACTTACCCCCTCTAAATCGGAGAGAGTGATCAAACAGAGAGTGACGGAAACCGCATTGCCGGAATAGACGGCGAAGTTAACCCCGCCATCACGCGCCGTGGCACCGAGCGCACTCGGATGACCCTGAGACACCTGAAAGGGCTGCAGTTTCGGCCTGTCGACCACCGTATTCTCCGCCACCTCGGTCCCTGCCCCGCCATTACTCGCCTTCGCCACCAACGCCCTCGCATGATTCCCAAACCCTCGCATCCACCAATTCAGACTCTTGGTCTTCTGATTTGGGTTTTGGCGCCTGGCATTGGGAAAGGCGAAACGCTGGGTGTTCTGGCGGGGAAGATTGAGGTTGGGAGCGGTGGACCAGGCGCTGCACTTGGTTAGCTGCTGCTGCTGGGCCATTGGTTCATCAGTGAGAGAGAGAGATTCTTGGCCTCCTGTTTGTTTGGTTTGGAGTGGGATGGATTTTTGTGAGGAGATATTATCTGTGTCACTTTCATTTCTCAAAGGCTGGAATTTGTTTTTATTTTTAGGAGGCACGTTTGATGTGTTTTCACCATATTCTATCCAAGATTTTAAAAAACGCTAGGCACTAATCGAACATCATACTAGCGCCTAGCATTTAGGCAGGAATTAAGCGGAGTCTAAGCGGTCTAGACTGATTTAAGTAATTTGAATAAATGAATTCAATTTTACTACAAAAAATATAATAACATCGAATAATGTATATATAAATATAGTAATTTAAGATAGTTTGACAGAAAAGAATAAAAAAATATAGTTTTTATTTTCATTTTAGAAAGAAAAACCTACATAGTTACAACTTCACACCACCCTTCGGGATCAGAATCCTCTCTTAAGCTAAGGGTGAGGATCCTCTTGAGCAAGGTCATCGGGCCGTTGAAATTTTATCCAATAGTTACAATTATTATAACTTTTAGTGGGCTCCCTGTTTTTAGCCGTTGGATAAAATTTCAACGGTTTGATGGACTTGCTCAGGTGGATCCTCACCTTTCCCACACCAATCCCATCGGTGGAGCCCATTCACTTACCTCTCTCACATTACCCAGAGTTTCAATTGCAATATCTAAGATCAAATAGTGTAAAAAATATTAAAGAAATCAATTCTTGCTTTTGATGATAAGGCCTAGTGGTAGATATGACTGTAAGGAGTGTGATGGGTACACGCAAAACCTTTTGACGTCTTGAAAATCGGAAAGCCCTTATTTTGTATTATTTTTTCCATTTCCTCTTCCATTTCCCTCTCACATCGTCTTCTTCAATTTACCTCTCACATCGTCTTTTTCAGTTTTCTTTGTAACCTCTCTTGTTCTTCGAGTTCGGCGTCGCGAGATTTGTAGACGAGATGTCATAATTTAGAGCAGAGCAGAATACGATGAAGTGAGAATTATGCACGGAGTAGAAGATGGGAGTTCAAGACGGTGAGAGTTGTATAGCCAATGATGGAAATCGACCAAATTCAGTCCACCTAGACATGTTGCCAAGCGCCACCTTGATCGCCTAGAGCACCTAGCGAGCGCCTAGGAGGCCGTATTGCTCCTCACCGATTTTGTAATGGATTTGCCCCAAATCGCCTCGGACAGCCATCGCCTAGCGCCTAGAGCGATTTTAATAACACTGATCCTATCCATCGGTTTCGTGAGATTATTTAACATTTTAATGTGGATTCTTTTTGGTAATTTTAGTGGATATACCTTCAAGATTGTCACATGTCGACCTTCGTAATATCACAATTCTCACATTATTTTTTTGAGTTCAAAGTACGGTATTCACTAATTGTACAAACTATGGAGCATAAAGTGTCACGCCTTGATCCAAGAATAAAGACTATTCATGAGTCAGGTGTGAGCCATATTTTAGCCATAGAAATATATCCTATAACCAAGATGTTAGGTTGATATAATAGGTATATTTTGTATCTCTTTTACCTATTAATTTAGTCATGGTTTGATATAAAACAGTTGGATTTGATGTATTTTGTGTGAATTTTATAGAAGTTATTTTTTCGGAGAAAACTGGATTTTTTAGAAGAATTACAAGGAAAGCACGAAAGAATAACGAAGTGGACTGATGCTATGTGAGAGTGGTGCTGGAATTTGGGCTTTATCAAATTAAGTCCAATTTGGGCTTCATATGGATTAGAGAACAAAAGCAAAGGGGGAGAAGACCAAAAAAAAAAAAAAAAAAAAGAAAAAAAGTCCAACTGGGGGGTGTACGGAACCGACCTCTCTAATTGCTGGGGAGTAGATGAGAAGCAGCCGCAAAGGGGGGAAAGAAGGGGATTCCAGCCTTCCAGTGGAAAAACGCTGGAGAGAAGGTGGCAGTTTTGGGGTTGATCACATACGATTCCAGAATTGGAGTTTTGGGGTTTCTTTATGTTATCGAATTCATCCATGTTTGTGATTAGTTTAATCATGAACTAAGTCCTTTTGCTAGGATTAGGGTGTACTCTTATCATGAACATCTAATTCTTATTATTTCATATTGATCTCTGTTGTTTTCCATGTTGAGTAATTGTTATTGTGCTTTATCGTTATCAAATAACTGGCCATTATTTGTGTGAAGAACTAAATTGGGACTGACAGGTTGAGTTTAGTAGATTGCTTCTCATAACGATTACCATGAATTACATAATTGAGTAGACATACTGGTTATGATTTTGTGTAGTATTGTGAAATTATCCATTTAGCGTAAAGGGATTCAATTATCTACTTCTGTGGCTAGACATAGCATGGGTAGATAGTTAGAAACACAGTTAGTATATTCTGAAAGGAAATATTGACGAATCAAGGGATAATTGCTAGCAACATGGGAATAAATTGAGTTTAATATGAATAACGGGATTAGATGGGATTGAGAATGAGGAACCTGATGTCCTAGTGCTTCAATATATTAATTTTTCATAATTCATTCACTTTTACTTCGTGTTTGTTCAATTGATATTTTCAATTTCGTTTGGGTCTTTGCATATTTGAATTTGTCATCGTAATCCATCTTTTATTTAAGTTTAGTTTGAAGTCAATCTCAATAGTAAATTTAGGTTAATCCGATCCTTGTTTGAACGACACTCTACTTATCACTATATTACTTGGACGATATTGTACACTTGCAATTATCAACAACACAAGACATGGTGCAAAAAAAGTAAAATAATATTTGTTTGTAATTGAATCACAAGACATTGTATAATAAAATTGTACATGATAAAACGCTCGAATTTACTACATAAAGTTTATTGAATACGTTGCGGAATAAAATTAGTGCACAAATTTACAATTGAAAGTACCAACAAAATAACTGAAATGAATAAACCTTGCAAATACATAAATATATGCAAATGAGATGCATGAATGTACTCGCTCCCTTCTAATCCTGCTAACGCGTACCTAAGGCATCCAAGCCTGCACATCTCATACCATGCTTACACCACTTGACTCTGAATACCTTAGAATATGAGTTAACTCCCGCTCATCCCTTAAGCTCAATTTTTACAATTAAATTCTCAATTTTCACTTTATCATATGGGCATTTCTCCCAACGCCCAATTGTATACTCAAGTTATTCCCCTGAAGCCTGACATATATTAAAGGCATTCTCGAATATCCTCACAACTCAAACACTTTACACAGCTTTACACAACTCAATACAACTTAACACAACTCAACTCAACTTTTTATCTTGATTTGCAATGCATATGCGTATGTAGGCAACATTGATGTCAATAATCTCATGATCTATAATAACCATACAATTTGCAACATAAATTGAAATAGTTAGTAATCAAAATACTATTAGACTATCAATAATAAAGTATTTTTAGAACTTTGCTCTACATCTTTAATGGTTGCACAAGGAGATGAAATAACCAATTACCAAATATCAATTCTTTAACTGTTTTCTTCTCTTACAAGCTACTATATGTAGTAATTTTCAATACTAACAATCCAACAACTAACTAACAACCTATTTGAACAGGTGTTACCTATAGGATAATGTCATCTGTCATAGCATCTTAACAATACCCCCTTAAAACCGAACTTTAGTAAACATTGAAACAATACAATAGATTTATAGAAAACAATACACAAAACCACTAAATAGATTGACAACTCAAAGGTTAACAACTTCTAGAAACTTCAGTTTCAATTCAACTTATCAAGTAGCATCTTCCACAGAGTGATTTTACCAATGGACCATTCTGTAAAATACCAGTGTTAGTGATAATTGGCAAAGGAACTGTGGTTTGTACATGAGCCTCCAAATGTTTCTTCAAGCATGAGATATGAAACATAGGATGTAGTTTGGATTGCTCTGGTAACTTGATCTTGTATGCTACATTTCCAACCTTAGCTACAACCTGAAAGGGACCATAAAATCGAAGTTGAAGTTTGTGAAATGGATGTGCTACCAAGGATTTGTGTTGGTAAGGAACCAATCTTAAATAAACCCCATCTCCAACTTTAAACACCATTTCTATCATCTTTTTATCAGCTTGAACTTTCATTTTTACATTGAGCAGCCTCCAAGTTATTTTTTAGCAAAGACAAAATTTTGTTTCTCTCTTGCAAGCATTGTTCAACAGACTCCACTTTGGTTGTACCATTTTCATATGCAAGAAGGAGAGGAGGAGCTTAACCATAAACTGCTTCAAATTGTGTCATTTTAATAGCATATTGAAAACTAGTGTTATAGCTTCATTCTGCCCAAGAAAGCCATAAAACCCACTTCTTTGATTGTAAACTACAAAAACATCTTAAATAGGTCTCCAAACACCTATTAAGAACCTTAGCTTATCCATCTGTCTGTGGATGGTATCCAAAGCTAAAGCAAAGTTCAAATCCTTGCAAAATGAAGAGTTCTTTCTAGAATTTGTTCATGAAAACTGGATCTCTGTCGCTGATTATCAATTTTGGCATGCCATGTACTTTGAAGATGTTGTCAACAGAGAGTTGAGCAACTACTCAAGCTAAATATGGATGTGTAAGTTTTGTAAAATGGGCATACTTAGACAAACGATCAACTACTACCCAAATTATAGTTTTTCCCTTTGCAAGGTGGAAGACCAACTATGAAATCCATTGAAATTTCATACCATACCTTAACAAGAATTGGCTAAGGTTGCAAAAGTCTAGGTGGAGATAAAGTCTTATATTTGTTTTGCTGACAAGTGGCACAACTAGCAACTCTCTCTTTGATATCCTTCTGCATACCTTTCTAATAGAATGATCTGAATATTCTTTTGTAGGTTTTAAGAAATCCCTTATGTCCAGCAGTAGGGCTTGAGTAATGTTCAGTAAAAACCTTATCTCTCCAAGAACTAGCACAATAGAATTTCTCCAAAATGAATCGTTACTCTTTAAATTTAGAGAGCAAATATTCATTTGCTAAATATTAAAAAAAATTAAAAAAGAAAAAGAGAAAGAAAAAAACTCAAAAGTAGACCCTTGAGCAAGTAGAAAACAAAGAGAGAGAAGATTGTTTTAGAAAATTATTTTTTCTCAAGAAACAAATCGACTATTAAATAGAGTGACAACGATCACATCCAGTACCAGTACACTCAAATAAAAAGGCATTCCTAGTTATAGTAAGCAAGGCCCTATTCTAAATATGTCAATTATGAATACTATGTTGGAATGTTCGTGTAGAAATTCCTACTTATTCATATATCCCACATTGATGAAGTAAAGGCTTCTCGTACACTTAATAACACTTGGCTTTCATCTTCTAATTAAATTGGGAGATGGGCCGTGTGGAGCAACTACTTTATTAAGAACATGATAATTATATATCTAATTATAAAAGCCTAAGGCCTTGGGCCTTTGGACTTTTTGAATTAATCATTAAACTTTGGTTTTAATTCAGTCATATCCTTTCCAAAAGGATAAGTCTGATGAGAAACAATTTGTAGCTGCTCACACCTATTGGTATTAGATTCATCGTGTTTTATATAAACACACACCATTGCATAACATAAAAATCATCATGAACCCCAAATTTCTTTTCTTATTCAGAACCACATTGATTTTCACCAGAAATCAAAGTCCTGGTGCTGGGATTTTGATGCTTCAATATCACAACAATGAACTTGGCACATGTTGTCAAGGAAGATGCTCTGCAATCTGGTGAAGATCCACTGTCAAAAGAAACTTTGAGTGCAATTGAAGTTTGCAATCATTTTGAGTTTTGTTGCAGAAACTGTATATTGAACAGTTTGGATGATAATCTATATGATATTTATTCACTCTGTAAGACTGCAAAGGAGTTGTGGGAATCATTGGGGAAAAAAAAATATAAGACTGAAGATGTCAATTCAAAGAAATTTCTAATTGGCAAATTTTTGAAATAATCTATGGTGGATTCCAAATCCATTGTTGCTGAAGTTGAAGAACTCCAAAAGTTAATCTATGAACTTCAAGCTAAGAGATGTGCTATCAATGAATATTTCTAAGTTGGTGCCATATTTGAAAAATTACCACCCTCTTGGAATGATTTCAAAATTTACCTCAAACATAAGCGTAGAGAAATGAATATGGAAGATTTAATTCTCGGATTATGAGTGGAAGAGGATCACATGAAGGGAGATGAGAATGATGTGTCGCTTGAAGCCAAAGCCAGTTATGTTGAAGGAGAAACTTCAATGCCTAAGCCAAATTCTCAGAAAAATAAGGGAAAGAAATGCAACAAGCAATTTGTTTATGCACCAAAAGCTAAAAACTCTAAGAAGATGATCAAAGGTTGTTGCTATGTGTGTGGAAAAGTGGGCCATAAAGCACATGAATGTTGCAGTCGAAAAGATGGAATTCATGCTAATGGAAATAACAATAACAACGGCAAAAACCATGCAAATATGATTATGACAGAAGGTGAATTTGTTGTATCCGAGACTAATATGGTTTCGAATATTAGTGATTGGCTAATTGATACTGGCTGCCACTAGGTACATATGTGTTGACAAAAACATGTTCATGGAGTATATGTTGCTGCCTTTGGAGAGAAATTATATATGGGAAATGCTGCTGTGGAGCCAAAAAATATTCTCAAGGCGACACGTGGATTTTTGGACAAAAAGGACAAAAATACCCTTGCAGTACAACAGGGTTCCTACGCGCAAGCAGCGGGCAACCCTCTTTCAACCAAGACAGAAGTGCCCAAAATAGGTAACAATTCAAAGTCCATCTCATCAAATCCTTTCTACAAGGTAATTCCCAAACACATTCCTTTTAAATTATGTTAATTGGCTAATTAATGGGTTTATTGCCTAATTAACCCATTAATTGTCAATTAAACCATCCATTATATCCAAATAACCACAAAACACATCCAATTCAACCCAAAAACACCACATGGCCGGCTATCCCCATTCAAAACCTAATCCACCTCCATTTTCCTAACCTTTTCACTTTTCTCCATTTTATTATCCCATTTATACAAATAATCAATTTTGTAACTCCTAATTAAACCTAAATTAAACCTAAAAAACCCTAGCCACCTCCTATCCCTATAAATATACTCTCATTCTCACCAAAAAAGCCAATTCCAACACTTTGGCAAAAATCCCAAAATTCTCTAAACACTATTTCTCTCTAAATTCTAACTTTGGCATCGGAGGTTCTTCGGCCAAAGCCCCCCCATTCATCGTGGGCGCGTGAGGCTCTTGGCCTTAACCTAAGGTGTTAATTGTTTTGTAGGTGCAAAATTGTCCAAGATCAAGGAGGAAGAAATTTGCATCCACAAATTGGTGCTTTCATTGAGAGTTCAAATCCATACTCGTAGAAGACTCTCGCTCAAAAAGGTTTTTTTCTTCATTTTCTAGTCCATTTGAATATTTTTCATACGTTCTTATTATTAGAATTTTTTTACTTGCAAAGGTTCTTTGATAAAACGTATAAGCAAAATATAATGGCTAGAAATTTAGAAAATTCCACAAGTGAAAATTCTAATGTTCAAGAAATGGGATTGCGGAGATCCGTGAGGCTAAATGCAACAATAAGTGGAGCAGCACCACCACCACGAGTTTCCACCATGGGAACCACCACGGTGGCTACCTCGGTAGCCACCCGTGGCGAGGTCCATGGTGCCTTCACCACGGCTCGAGCTGTGCCATCCAAGGCTCACGGCACCAAGGCCATTATCCAAGTCGTGCCATCCAAGTTTGCACGGGCCCGGGCCCAAGCCTCGCATTCGCATGCATCACATACTAAGCAGCCTGCTCCCGCCAAGCAACCTGCTCTCGCGGCCCAGCCTGCTCCCGCAAGCTCCCGCCAAGAAACCTGCTCTCGCGGCCCAGCCTGCTCCTGCCAAGCAGCCTGCTCTCGTGACCTAGCCTGCTCCCGACGAGCAACCCACTCCCTTGGCCCAGCCTGCTTTCGTCGAGCAGCCCACTCCCGTGACCCAGCCTGCTTCTGCCAAGCAGACTGCTCTCGTGACCCAGCCTGCTCCCGACGAGCAGCCCACTCCCGTGGTTCAGCCTGCTCCAGTCGAGCAGCCCACTCTCACGGCCCAACCTGCTCCTGCCGAGCAGCCTGCTCTCGTGACCCAGCCTGCTCCCGACAAGCAGCCCATTCCCGTAGCCCAGCCAGTTCCAGTCGAGCAGCCCACTCTCACGGCCCAGCCTGCTCCCGTGGCTTTCCAAGCAGCCCAAGTCAGCCCAAGACTATCTCAACCATCCGGACCTACCATCGAGCCGGGAGCATTCTCACCACATTTTTTCGCGGATTTGACATTTCCCAACTCAAATCTCACGCCCGGAGTCTACCACCCTTCCACTGCCCAAGAAGGCGCATTCCTTCCAAGCTCTTCCAATCCAAATGGCGAACAACACTTG